GCCACAAGCCAGGCTGATGGCTGCCAGTACAGCGGTGGTGGTGGGAGCCTCTCCCGCCTCCTCAGCAGCACTAAGGATGTCCGACTGCAGCTTAGGCCTGCTCCCCGCTGGCAAGTGGACATCCCCCAAGGGCTCCCCGGCTGCCAGAGGGATGTCTGACTGCCAGCTTAGGCCCAATCCCCTGAGGAGTGGGCCCAAACCAGCAGGTGGTCATCCCCCGAGGTGTTCCAGACTGCGAGAGGGCACAGGCTGGGCTGAGGGACGCCCCCCCCACCCCCGCCATGCACAAATTTTTGTGCACCAGGCTTCTAGTAAAATATATTTGGGATGAGGGCAAATGCTGATCAAAGGCTTGAAGATAAAAAGCAATAGATTGCATTTCCTTTCATGGCATTTGTTTCTGCTTTTCCTGGTGATAAAACTACTTGCTTGGCCAACTCTACTTACAGGACAATGAAGTTATTTTTTTCTGTTTTTCAACCTTTTATGTAGTCACCTTTTCTATATTAAAATAATAGAAGTTAGATCATTGCTATCTCCTGCCTCTAATGTGTTCAGTTTCCCTCTTGGCCTGAACTGCATTTTCTATTGTGTGTATTTTTACTTCAATCTGATTAGTGCACAGTGGTTCTTCGTCCAGTTTGCACACTACAGTCTCCTGCAAAGCTTTGCAAAAATATTCAAAAGCTTCTCCATTCCCCCAAAGATTCTGATTTAATTGATCATAGATAGAACCCAGACAGTAATCATTTTTAAGTTCTGCTGTTATGATTCTAATCACCAGACTGAGAATCACTGGTTTTGAGAAACTGATCAACATCTTCTAGAATTCAATTAGTCAGCTCTAGGGCTAGGAAAATGTGTTTATTTCTTAATCAGGTAAAAGGTCTCAATCCATGAGTCAGGAAACAGAGAAAAGATGCCTTAATATGTCTGTAAGCAAAAGTGCAGTGTGACATGGACATTACCCAGAGGGACCTGGGAAGGCTTGTATGATCTCAGCTCCATCAATAAGAGTGATTATGCTGAAAATAAGGAAAAGGTATCCCACCAGTGGTTACTGCTTGCCTTTTTTGAAAGAGAAAACTATGAGCTGTCAGAGTTTAATGAGATTTTAAGTTGCAAATGCACCTGCAGGTCAAACTCCCCTCCTTGGGGAGGAAGAGCTTGCCCACATCACACTGTTGGGTTCTCTGGAAGCAGATCTCTTGGTGCAGTTTGGGTGGGAGAAGTAATTGTTGTCAATGCAGGACAGAGAAAGCTCTCTCTGCTGAGGGCAGGCTGGGGTCTGAGGTTTGTGCTGCTGCTACATGACTGAGTCATGGACAGAAGCTGCCGCCCTAGGAGAGGGCACAGGCACAGAGAACAGAAGGAACGAGGAGTGAACGCGACACAGCAGCAGGGAGGTCGTGCTGCAACCGACTGTTTGTCCCTGGCTGTTCCTAAGGAGACCAGCATTGCGTTCTCTTCTCACACTAGTGCTCATTATCACATACTGCAGGGCATGCTAATGAGAGAATTTTTGAAAATTCAGCCTATTACGCTCAACTCTTCCTGAATAAGAAAATGTCATTAGAATACTTAAGTGCAGATATTGCATTTCCACATTTAAAAAAACACATTTTTTAAAGTAAACAATTTTATTTTTTCTAAGTTGGCTCCTGTGCAGAAATGGCTTAGACTCTAGGAAAACATAAATCTCACTATTCTGTCAACAAGTGGTGGTATAAAGAAAGATTTTTAAAAAATATTTTTGTCTACACTTAAGGGGGGAAACTAAACTGAATGACAGGGGGTGGTTAGCATTTTTAATCTTAATAAAATAAAGCTTACATTATTACAATGTAATCTAAAGTGGAAACATATATTTTCAACATCATAATAGGACAATAATAAAGGCTGAGGATTAAAAATATTTTCAGCCACACCAATGTTAAAGAAATCAATACAGGGTGACTCAGCAAATATGGCTTCCAGCATCATGAAGCTTTCTCTCTCCTTAAGCAGAAAACACGTGATTGGATAGAAAGCAAGAAAAAGACAAAAAAAATTGGCTTTTAGATATTGGGGTCTACCTGAAGTACAGTCTACATATTTCTTCTTGTCTTCCTGACTCTCTAGAAGAAAAGGTCTTATAATCCTGAAACAGAGCTGTCAGCCAGTTGGTAGGTATCAGAATGCTTGTATGAATTCCTCTGGGGAAGCCATTGAAAGTAAAGTCAAAATAAAAATCTGACCTATTAAGGGACAGACCATTCATGTATTATGATTTCAAATAAATGAACGCTCCAGTGATGCCAGGAACTAGCATCCAGGCCATCCTCTGCCAGCCTCTGTAACTCTGTCACTTCACCCTGTGCTTCAGGGATTTATTGACTAACAAGTTCTAACAAGATGTCAAGTGGAAAAGAAAAAAAACCTAAATGTAAATGAGAATTACCAGAACCCTTGTTTGTCCATCTTCCTCAGTGCCACTCCATGAAGCATTTTGGATTACAAAATTGAGACAAAATGATGAGGAAGACGGAGCTACAGAAGAGTTCATTTAAAAAGCTAAAAGGCTAAGTCATACGTCAAAAGAATAGTACTAATGACAAACTAGAACAGGCACTCTTCCAAGTGTTTTACCTATTTCATGGATATTTTAAAATATGTCTGCAAATTGACACTCTTCCCCTTGAGAGGGAAGATCTATGTTGCTTCCTCTTGACTCTGGAAGAATCTTAATGACTTATAACCAATAGGCTGAAGCAGAAATTTGCTGCATAGCTTTTGAGGCTAGATGAGAAAAGGCTGTGCAGCTTGTACCTCGTTCTGAAGGAATCTGTCTCTGGGTGAAGTGAGCTGTAACCCCCCCGAGTCTGCCCGGATAGGCCATGTGTATTGCTCCAGTGGACAGCCTGAGTTGCACACCCAGCTGTCAGGCAACACCTACTGTCATCCATATGATTGAACCATCTGGGTCATGCAGACCATTCAGGTCTTCAAATAACTACAGTCCCAACTCACAGCTAATGATAACTGCATGAGACTCTAAATGGGAACTACCCTGATGAGCCATACCATGTGCCTGACTCACAAGTCATGAGCACAATAAAATGGTTGTTTTATGCCTCTAAGATTTGCACTGATCATTTGTTATGAAACAGTTTTAACTAGAAAATATATTGACCCATTTAAGGCTTACAGCAACCTTACAAAAATATCTTCTCTTATTTTTCTCATTTCTTAGGTGAAGATACTGACTCCTAGAGATAAGTGGTATTTTCTTTCTTTTTTTAAAAGTAATTACCATTTTATTTGTTTATTTTTTCAAGAAAAACGATCTTAAATATAATAATATTGCATGCAATAAACATTAACATTTCAAGAAAAAAAAAGGATTTTAAGTATAATAATATTACCAAAACTGTACTAACATGGTATGATTTCACAAAAGCTGTAGGAAACATTAAAAAATCTGCAAATAATAGGATTACTTCTATTATACTCTAAAATATTTTCCCCCCTCTGGCTCTATTTTTCCTCATCAGTTTATGTTGTTCATTATATTCCACAATTGAGTGAAATCATGTGATATTTATCTTTCTCCAACTGGCTTATTTCGCTTGGCATGATGCTCTCTGGGTCCATCCATGCTGTTGCAAATGGTAAGAGTTTCTTCTTTTTTACAGCAGCCTAGTATCCCATTGTGTAGATGTGCCACAGTTTTTTTAATTTGAGATAAGTGGTATTTTTGATGTTACATGTCTTGTGAGTAGCCATGCTGGTATTTGAACCAGGTAGTTAGGTCCCAAGGTTCTTGCTTTTAAGGATCTTGAAATGGTTGTTATCATCACTGCATTTCTTCTGTGGTTTTCCCAGATTATTGATAAGATTGAGCATTTTTTATTTCTCAAATTTTTTGTCATTGGTTATTGATTTCGTAATACATTCAGGTTTTCATGGAATATTTTTCTAATCTCCAGGCTTGTGTTCCCATCTAAAACTCTTGGCTATTTCAAGTGAACTCTGCATTTCTGTCATATCAATCCCCCGTAAATGGAAATGAAGATTTTGCTTCCCCAGTGTCCGAGTCTTTATTTCATAGGCTGCAGCAGTATCTTTGTTCAAAAAGGTATATGACTGTTTGTTTGAAGGTAGTTGGATTCACAGCAAGGGTTTTCTACTCAGACCCCTTCACTTTACCCACCCCTACTTGTTTACTGCTAGATAAAATACCTAACAGAAACACCCCTATGAACTACATAGGCACTTGACTGTGATAACTGAAGGGAAATGGCAGCTATCCATGGATGGATAGGATCACCCAAGTGCACTGATGGGTTAGAATAAACCTCAGTTCCTAACAGCATGATTCAAATGTTCTTTCTCAAGTTGTCATTAACTAATATATACAACTTGTTAGTTTGGGGACAGTTTGGCTAAACAAGCAAGGTTAATTTTTTATGGTTACCATTTTAAAATGAATTCTCACATCAGGAACATTTCAAGCTTCCTATCTTGCCAAGCTTGCTCCCTTTCTGGGTTGCACTTCTAATAATTTTCATGTGCTCTTTCTGCTAAGCCCAAGGGTAGACTCCTGACCTCCTTGCTGGAGGTGCGAATGATGCCAGGCTTAGTGACTGCTCTGCGGTGCTCCAAAGCACCTGCTCCCCAGACCTTGAGCAGGACAGGGGATACTCCTGGGGTGCAGCTCTAAGGGAAGGAAGCGAATCCCGGGGCGCTGAAGAGGCCGGGCAGGGGACCTGGCACAACGTGGTGCATAGATCCTTTTGGCCACCCCCCCCACCCCCCTGCTGCTCAACCAGCACCCTGCTCTCCTCAGCCTTAGGGCCCGAGGGCACAGCCGCTGTCCACAGTGGGAGGTGCTGAAAGCAGGGAGCAGCGGGAAGGGGAGAGGCGAACAGCTCCTCAGCCCTTCTTCCCCCACCCCTTGCTCCTGCTCCTCCGCCCTCCCCGCCTCCCGCAGCCGCGTTCCACGCAAGGGGAGGGGCGGAGGGTAGAGGGACGCGGGATGGGGCGGGGAGAGCCGGCTCTGCCTCAGGGAAGGAGGGGATGAGAGTTGGGGAGAACCACGGGAGGAGGAGGAGGAGGAAGAGGAGGCAGCCGCTGAGGAGCCAACGCTGGGCCCCGCAGTAAGACTCCCAGGAGCCACCATCATGGTGAAGAGGAAGAGCTCTGAGGGCCAGGAGCAGGACGGCGGCCGCGGCATCCCCTTGCCCATCCAGACCTTCCTGTGGCGGCAAACCAGGTGAGGGCCAGCCTGGGCTGGGGGCACTCCCGGGCCGCCCGGTCCTCCCCACCTCCGCCGCCACCACCGCCGCCACCGCCGCCACTGCCGAGGCCGCGCACAGCCCGCAGCTCCCCCTCCGAGGCTGGAAAGCAAGCCCTCCGCACCCGCTTAAAAACACGCATTTAAAAATATTTCAGGGAAGTTTGACTACAGGCAGGTTGGCAGTTGCTGGATAAATATATACGTTATTTAGGGACGGGGAGGGCAGAGAGCCTAGGAAGAGGGGGCAGGGAGCCAGGGGAGATGATTATGACTGGTTGTGCTCCTGCATCCTATGTGCCCTCCTTCTCCTGCTGTCGTTGCAGCCCGGTGACCTGTTGTTTTTCTAGTTCCTGTTTGGCAAATATCTGCTATGCCCACTTGTTAACCATTTTTGCTCGGATTCAGCGAGCCGAATGTTCCTGGTTAAATCCCCAGAGGAGAAAATGATCTTTTATAAGACTCCCCCCCCC